GCTCAGATAAATCTGAACACATGTAAAACCAGATATTTAGGCGCCTAGGGAGACTTACTGATGAAAACATAGGCCTCCAAGAACTTTAAACATAAGTTGGAGGACACTTTCCAAAGATTTAAGCTTTGATTGGAAGTTTCTTTAGCACCTATCTTTTGCTGAGGACCTTGTTCCAGGTGAATTGCCAAACACTTCACAGAAAGTCTGCAAAGAAATTAAGAACAGCCCTTTCTGCTCCAATGCCTTAATGACAAAACAACACAATTTCTTTCAGAAATCAATGTTAAGGACATCGACTTTGCTATTTGTTCAAAACCCTTTTGTGGATGGTTTACCCTTACATAAAATGGTTGAAACACTCTTTTTTCCAGCCCCCAGCATAAGTCACAGGCCAGGGCAAGAATCACGGGTACTGACTTGAAGCTTTTCCTGTATGTGCCTACCTTTTTCACCCATCAAATTTTCATACTAGCAATAACTTAAAAGTGACAGAAAACCTGAGCCAGCATGCCAACACACATAGAAGAAAGCAAAGCTTCCTTAGCACCCTCAAAAAAAACTAATACACGTGTAAATTTTGCACATAGACTGTTAGACAGTGAAAACTGCGTAACAGAGATAAACTTGTACGGGGATGAAGCAGACAGATGTTTTCCATAACGACCAAAAAAAAAGAAAAACCCTTATATACATATCTTATCAGTTATTTAACAGCAGTTGCTTCTTTATTTTCAGCCATTCCAGAAGGAAACGAGTAGTTTGAATTATAGTTAAATCTTAAAAAAATAAAAATAAAGAAATAATAAGCTGATGTATCAATGTCATGGTCAATTTTATAAGTTAAAACATCTAGCATGCTTTCTCACCTTTCTGTAACTGATGACAATGAGGTTCTTCCTTCCCAATTCCCCCTTGCTCCTCCCACAAACCTCTGTTTTTATGAAAAAGATTGACACAAAGGTGAAGTTTGAAAAAAAAAAAATTTATATACATATTACTCAGTTAAAAAAAAAAACTTGTAAAAAGAAAAAACCTCACATAACTTTGTTTCACAATGAACATAGATGGAAGACAGAAAGAAGAAGAAGAAAACTATTAGATACCTGTTGATTTGATGAAAGCAAGGATTTCTGAGTTTTGCAATTCCACTCCGAAGTCTTCCCACCCAGACCAAATCTTGAGCTACTTATTTATTTGGTCAATGAAAACTGTGAATTCCATGAAAAATTTCCTGCTTTCTGCTGAAGCTCTACATGCCAGATATTCTTGTACTGTATGGCCACCCAGGAGCTGGCAACTCCCACAATACTCCAACCCTTAGGCCCACTCTACATTCAGGAATTGTTGTGAGGACAACTACATAGCATAAATAAAGTGGTCCTGTAGGTGGACATAACTTATAATGACAAAAAGATATTCTTGCTAATTTTAGTCCCCATCCTAAGTTAAGCTGTAAAAACAAAAGTAAAGGTGGTAGCACACAAAAATGTCGACGTCAAGACACTTCTGCCAATACTGAAATACTGTTTTTCATTCCAGAACAGTTTAACTATGCCAATTTAACTAAGTTCAGTTCAACTGAAGTTTGCAATTTAAAAAGAACAACAACAACAAAATCTGTTTTCTTTATAATGTAAAGTGCACCAATACACTGTGAGAGCAGTTCTCTTCAAACCTCAAACTGCATAGATCATTAATATATTTGTATCATGTGAGTACCTCGGTATCCCACTGGAGATGGAAGAACATTTTGCAGTTAAACACAACAAACAAAAGAAGAACAGGGATGTTAACAAAAACTGGTAGAAATCACATGCTCTTATTTCCCCCAGTATGTGAGGTATGTTGCAGCATCACTCTCTTACCAATTCACATGCAGTTACCTTTTTAAAGAATTTATGCTACAAACACAAGTTGTTGGGTTTCTTTCCTATGGAGTTTTTCCTATATGCCAATGACACTTTGTGGAGAAAATTTGAATTGCATTTAGTAAAACAGCTAAAACTTGTTTGTGCGCTTAACTCCACTGCTTTAGCTACTTCCACCGAAAACAATCAGACTACTCATGTATAAAGCTAAGCTTCTGCATAATCTTTCCTAAGTGAGGACCTAAGAAGGAAAAGTTAGACAGGTTGCTTATACAGCCCACATGCATGAATACGTACTTTGTACTCCCTGGGTAGCATACAGTAACCTCATTAAAAAAGGAAAGGGAAAGAAAATAATTATAAACCACACAAAACAGGCTTGAATTCTTTTGAGACATTGGAAAAAAATATTTTGGTAGATCACTTACTGTGTTTTACTCTATAGTTAAAATATTTTATAAAAGTATTCAATGTATGTATATATACAAATTTTTTTTAAGTATTTCTCTTTAGTACCTCAGAATGCAGACGTAACCTCTTACAACAATCAGAGCTAAAAGGAAAAACCAAATGCAATACAAGATCCTGCTCTAGTTGAAATCAATGGCAGAATCGTTCATGGCTTTGAAAGATACAAAATAAGTCCATGAAAGCTTCACAAAAGCATCAAACATCAGTATAATTATGACTCCACTGAAAAATTTTTTATGGGGAGGGAAAACCCCTTCAAGTTTTAAAAGTTCAAAGACCAGTGCTCTACCCTTCTTAAAAGTAACTTGGGAAAGGCGAGCGTGAAATGGTGATGGAAGTTTCCCTCCCAATTTAACTCGGCAAAGATTAGCTGAACAAAACTACAAAGAATTGCCTTTAAAATTTCCAGTGTGCACAACATTCTTCAACAAGATACCTCACACAAATGTAGAAAGTGGCAGCAGAACTCTGAGAAACGTATTTATTAATTAAAAGGTACAGAAAATATAGAAGGGAAAATCATGCAGAATTACTTTGCACATAATGTTTGATTTTCCATTTTAAATTCTCAGTGAATGAGCTGTAAATTCCATCAAGTATTTAAAATACTCAAAATCCTTTACCGTTTTGTAACAGCCTAAAGATACAAGGCCTAGTAATGATTGACATTGCCCTTTACTAATCTGAAGCTTTAATAGCATGACAATTGACAGTTCCGTGTTTCAGAATCAGGTAGATGCTGATGCAGGAGATTATTTTAAAAAAAAAAAAAAAAAAGAAAAAAAAAAGAGGATGAAACAGAAAAGCAAAGTTGTCTGCTGAAATACAAGAGGAAAAAGTTTAGGTTTTTTTAAATAAGCATTATTATATGATAAAACATTTCCTGGGTCCTAGGTTCAGACACATTATGTCATCCTTGATCTACAACTGGTTTCTGTGACTCCACCGCCCATCTGCAAGTCTGCAATAATACTTAATTGTCTTCATGGTACCGAACACTGCAGTTACTCTTATGCCTTCATTAACTGGTTTCAAAACCCAAGCAGAAAAATACTGTAGAACTGCAAAATAGCATTGACACTAAAAACTTGTCAAGTGGATACGTATTGAAAACTCTATTAAAAAAATCTTACATTCACCAGCCACTAACTTAATCATCATCTGGGATTCCTGAATGTAAACCTCTTTCAGCTAATAATGAGGGATTCCATAAGAGCCTGTCTCCACTAGTATGAGTGCAGAATTGGGGTCCCAGTTTCCTTTTACACAGTGTATTATTACTGGAAGAACTCCTTTATGAAACTCCAGACTTAAAAGTGAGACGTCACTCCTTACACACACAAAAGTATCTCCAAGCACAACAAAATAAAGAATCATTATAGAAACATTTGTTTATCATTTTAATAAATATGGGTGTAAGTCAGTCAGGTACAAAAAAGGAAAACACTTCCCTGCTATCAACTGGGAACTCCGCATGTTAGGTCAGTAAGATATCAGATACCTTTTGCAAAAAAGGAATTACATAATGTATCCTACAGTCACCCTACCTGTAATTCCAAAGAAACACTCTTGTTAAACACACACACAGAGTGAACGAAGGGATTACTTTTTTAAAACTAAATGAAATAGTTTCACTGCCAACAGCTGAGAAACAGTCTTCTAAGCAGCTGAACATACAGACAGCAGTTTACAACTCAATCCAAGAACATCCAGGAGCCTATCCATGTAAGAACAACTACTGCAAATGGACAAAGCTTAAAAAAAAAACAAACACAAACAAAAACATTGATTGAAAAGCAAATATTAAAAAGATATATTCAAATATAATCTGACACCTGCACTTGAAATAGTGAAGAGAGCCAAAAGCAGCTTGGAAGGGTATCTTCCACTTGTTTGTTTACCTGTTCTTAGAAAAACATAAAAACTAGCAACATTAAGAAGCAATATACTGAACAGATGAACCAGGCTCCTGAACACATCGCTTTTATTTAGAGAAAGCCTTTGTTCTGGGAACAAGATTTAAGCATTTGAAGTTAAATTACAACCTTTTTGTAGGGAGGGGGGAAGGTAACAATCAACTTTTAAAGGGCATATTCCTCCTTTCTACACAAACACGTTGTTGTTTGGAATGGGGTGGGAAGAGTTTTACTGTCATTACAACAGTCATGGGCTGAGGCAACCATGAAGCTAGTGTTGATGTTATGATGGAAACACCTCTGTTCAGCGTTAATCTGTAGCACCAGTAAGTGATTCATTACAAACACTGTGACAAATCATGAGGAGTGATGAGTTTTGTATCCTCCCTGGCATTTGCCTCTTCCAAGTGAGCTGGCTCACAGCTGTCCCAGGGCCTGGGTGGTTGTAGAGGGTTCGAACAAGCAAAGTGGATGAAAAAGCTTTTTTTTTTTTTTATTAAAACCTGAAACTCTCTAAGTTAAAAGATGACATTTTGTTCACACACCTTGAGAGAAGAGGGCACATGTTCCCCATTTCTGACCAAAAAAAAAAAAAGAAAGAAAGAAAGAGCGGAGGCTTTGGAGAGTGGGCTTCACACCCACCACCCTGGACCTTCCCACAAAGAACAAGCAGCACAGCAACGAGGAGAAAAGAGAAAAGCAGCGAGAGGCCACGGTTGTGTGGCGGCGGCGGCTTGAAATTTACCTGGAAATCAGCCAATATCATTTCTCGGTCCATGTTGGACGCCATTGCAGCCAGCTGCGTCCCCGGCTCTGCTCTGACCCGCGCACCTGGAGCTGCTGCCGGCGAGGACGGAGCAGGGTGGGAGCTAGGAGCTCATCGAGGCGCCGGGCTCCTCTCAGGCTCCCGCGGCGCCCCCGGGCTGCCCCACCTGGCAGCCCTGCGGCGGCCGGGGCGCGGCGGCGGCGGGCAGAGGAGGGGAGAAGGGAGGAGAGAGGCGGGCAGGGGGCCGGGAGCGGGCCGGGGCCCGGGGCGGGCAGCGCTGCCTCCAATGCCTGCCCGGAGAGGGGGG